CGCCCTTCTTTCTTTTTTTAAAGTAAATTCTACCCGCCCCCGACGTGGGGCTCAAACTCAGGACCCCAAGATCAAGAGTCACATGCCCTTCTGACTGAGCCAGCCAGGTGCCCCTACAGTATTGTTAACCATAGGCTCCATCCTGTATATTATATTCTGTTTCTAGGAGTTTGGCTTTTTTTAGATTCCACACATAAGTGAGATCATACAGCATTTGTCTTGTCTGACTTACTTAGCATGATGCTGCCAAGGTCCAACCATGTCGTTGCAAATGGCAGGATTTTCTTCTTTTTCATGGCTGAATAATATTCCATCATAGACATATTTAACACATTTCCCTTATCCATTCATCTGCTGATGGACACCAGAGTTGTTTCTGTTTTGGCTACTCTGAATAATGCTGCCATGAACACGGGAGTGCAGATCTCTCTTTGAGATACTGATTTTGTTTCCTTTGGATATATACCCAGAAGGAGGATTGTGGGGTCATATGGTAGTTCTAGTTTTAATTTTTGGAGAAACTTCCACACTGTTTTCCATTATGGCTATACCAATTTATCTTCCCACCAACAGTGTGGGAGAGTTCTCCACTGACGGGGGCTTTGAGCAGGAGAGAGACCTGGTTTGATCTGGTTTTAGAGGATCCCTCTAAGACCAGTAAGTGAAAGGTTGGTGGGAAACTTTCTAACAGAGAGAGATTAGGACCTAGCCTATATGTGGAGCCATAGATTACGGCAACATGATGCACCAGGAAGGGACCCAGCACCTTCAGTGAGGAGCTCTTGCCAGAATGAGCCCCAATCTGATCTAATTCCCACTTTATTTTTTTCCCAAAGATTTTATTTACTTATTTGTCAGAGAGTAGAGAATGAGCACAAGCAGGGGGAGTGGCAGGCTCCCTGCTGAGCAAGGAGTCAGATGCAGGGCTCTATCCCAGGACCCCGGAATCATGACCTGAGTGGAAGGCAGACACTTAGCCCACTGAGTCATCCAGGCGTCCCTAATTCCCACTTTACGGGGTATTCGTGGAATGGAAAGACATCTTGAGTGGCACCACAAAGATGGTGTCAGCCAAATCCAGGATGTGAAAATTTGTGCAGGGCAAGTGACCTAGTTTCTTAAGAAACAAGTGGCGTATACAAGTTGAGGAATGGCTAACAGATTTCAAAGACCTGAGAGGCTCACAGGAAGGCACTGTGTGGTGAGTTTTGGGATCCTTGTTTGAACAAACCCAACTACCAAGTACATTTATGAGACCGTGAGGGAAACGTGAATATGGAGACTGCAGGTTCGGTAACTGTGAGAGGAGTGAAATGCTTGTTTATTGTGCCTTTTAAAAAATTGAAAGGGGGAGGGGCCCCTGGGTGGCGCAGTTGGTTAAGTGTCTGCCTTTGGCTCAGGTCGTGATCTCAGGGTCCTGGGATCAAGCCCCATGTTGGACTCTCTGCTCAGCGGGGAGTCTGCTTCCCCCTCTCCCTCTGCTGTTCCCCCTGCTTGTTCTGTCTCTCTCTCTCTGTCAAATAAATTAAAAAAAAAAAATTGAAAGGGGGAGGGGCGCCTAGGTGGCTCAGCTGGTTAAATGTCCTATTCTTGATTTGGGCTCAGATCACCGTCTCAAGATTCTGAGCTACAGCCCCACGCTCAGCAGGGAGGTGGTGGGGGGTTCTGCTAGAGATTCTCTCTCCCCCTCCCTCTGCCCCACCCACCCAATGCTCTCGTGCTCTCTCTCAAATAAATAAATCTTAAAAAAAAAATTGAAAGGGGGAATTACTGCTTAGTAAGTAAAGAGTCTTTTTGGGGGATGATAAACATTTTTTTTTAAGATTTTATTTATTTATTTGTCAGAGAGAGAGAGAGCACAAGCAGGGGGAACAGCAGAGGGGGAGGGAGAAGCAGGCTCCCCGAGTAGCAAGGAGCCCGATGTGGGACTTGATCCCAGGACCCCAGGATCATGACCTGAGCCGAAGGCAGATGCTTAACTGACTGAGCCACCCAGGCGCCCCTGATGATAAACATTTTTGAGGAGAGTGGTGATGGTTACACAGCATTGTGGATGTGTTTAATGCCACAGACTTAGACACTTAGGAATGGTTAAAATGATCAATGTTACATGTATTTTAGCACACACACACAGAACCGAAGGCCGCACTCATTCTACATTTTCTCTTTCCTATTAATTCCTATAAGGGTCCAATAATTCCTATTAAGCCCCTTCTGAGTTTAGATTTTTTCTTTTACTTGCTCCTGGAATGATCCTAACTCATGGCAGCTTTCATACTGATGCGGTACACAGTCCGTCCCTCCCTAAGGGAGTCTGATGTTATTTCTGATTCCAGACTTCCCTCAGTGTGAATTTTATTTGTTTGTTCTTTTATTATTTATTTGTTTATTTATTTGTAATCATCTCTACGCCCAGCGTGGGGCTCAAACACCACCCGGGGATCAAGTCTCACTCTCTACCGACTGAGCTGGCCAGGCGCCCCTCCTGAAAAACTTTTGAAACATGGAAACTTCTAAGGTAATCACATATGCTTTGCTGAAGCATCCAGGGGAAGACGGACCTACGTCTGCAGTTCACTTTGAAAAACCTAAAAAGCAAGCTGCGGGGACAGGTGGATGGCAGTGTGCTCAGCAGCGGGGCGGACTGCCCACTGTGTCATTCCCTCTGGTTTGCTGCATGTTGGAAAACTGTCATAAGATGTTGGGGGTGGGGGGGGAATGTCCTTTACCATTAGAAATGCATATTCAATGATTTTCTGGAATTTGCTTTTTTTTTAAGGTTTTATTTATTTATTGGACAGAGAGAGAGACAGCGAGAGAGGGAACACAAGCAGGGGGAGCGGGAGAGGGAGAAGCAGGCTTCCCGCTGAGCAGGGAGCCCGATGCGGGGCTCGATCCCAGGACCCTGAGATCATGACCTGAGCCGAAGGCAGTTGCTTAACCAACTGAGCCACCCAGGCGCCCCTACTTTTTTTTTTTTTTAAAGATTTATTTATTTTTAGAGAGAGAGTGAGAGAACCTGAGTGGGGGGAGGAGCAGAGGAAGAGGGACAAGCAGACTCCCTGCTGACCTTGGAGCCCGATGCGGGGGCTCAATCTCATGACCCTGAGATCATGACCTGATCCAAAACCAAGAGGTGACGCTTAACTGACTGAGCCACCCAGGTGCCCCTGGGATTTGCTTTAAAACAAAAACAGGGGCGCCTGGCCGGCTCAGCCGGTGGAGCGTGCGACCCTTGATCTCGGGGTTTTGAGTTTGAGCCCCACGTTAGGTGGAGAGATTACTTAAAAGCTAAAAAAAAAAAAATCTTAAAAAAATAAAATAAAAATTATGAGAGTGATAGCAGAAATGAAACTGGCAGAAAGTTGACAGGCTATTGAATGAGGCCAGGTGATGGGCACAGGGGTTCACTGTACTAGGCTCTCCACTTTTGCATGCTTGAAAACTTTCTTACTAGGTAATTGACAAATAAAAAGATGTGTCTGCTTTCCTTGTGGAGCGAAGGCAGGAGGAAAAGAGCCTGTGGAAGACACAGAGCTGGGTTAGGAATCGCGCTCGGGCAGTTTCAGATTGAGAGAGTTCCTAGGGCCTGGATCAGGAGCGTCACCTGCAGGCTTTCTCTGGCTGGGCACCCTCCTCCCCTTCCCCAGCCCACCCCAGGCCGGCAGCTCTGCCGGCTACCTTCTCCCTGCCTACACCCACCTCCCCACATCAGCCTCACCGGAAGTGAGGCCCGGGACAGGCCTCCCCTCCCCCTACCTCCACATCTGGTACTGATGTCAACAGCCAGGGTGGGCGGGGGCCCTGATTTTTAGCTCCCGCCCAGCCTCGAGGGAGGGGCGGACCCCCCATCCCCACCCCTTACTCACAGTGACAGACACTGTCACAGGCACACCAGGCCCTGCCATGGGCCAGACCGGGGGCCAGAAATGAGCTTTTATTGCAAAATGGGGACCTTCGAGTCACAAGGACGTCAGAGCTGGCCTCTTGCCTGACACAGGGAGCTGGAATGGGGTCCCTCCTTGGTCATCTAGCCCCTTCCACCAGGTCTAACTGGGACTTGAGGACGGGAGGTGGGTCAGTGAGTGTGTGTGGAGGGGGGGCAGGCCGGGAAGACTTGTAACATGGTTACATAAGCAGGAGGGGGAGGTGTTTTTCTGATCAGAGGGTCCCGTGTGTCCAAGTTTACTTGGTTCCCAGGGCTGTGTGCACAATTGCCCGTTGGATGTATATTTATCTTTGGGAGAATTTGAGGCTCAAGGTGCTTGGAAAGGGTTGTCCTTGAGGGCTGAAAGTCTGGAGGAGCCTGGGGCTGTGCCCTCCCCCCTTCCCCAGGAATGGGGTGTCTCCCTGGGAGGATATTTGAGAGCGGGACGGTGTCATGTGTGGGCTGGCTGCGTGTTTCGGTGGTTGGGGGCATGCGGACGGCGATGGTCACGTGCCTGGCCCGTGGCGTGGCTGCACGAGAGAGGGCACGTTGGGGCTGAAGACAGGGACGGTCTCTCTCTGTGTGGGGACATGACCCAGAAAGGGGCATGTTCACCTCTGCACCGGGCTCCCAGAGCTGGCAGGTGGCTGGAGGAAGAGGGCTCGTGGGCCCTGAACACAGTGGCCGTTTCCGTGGCTTGTGAAGGAAGGGGCTGAACTCCCACACGTGGGTTGTGACCCCAGGGGGGCTGTGTTGTGTACGGGATGGTGTGTTATCTGGGCCTGTGATCGTGATTCCAGACGAGCTAAATCTGTGTCTCCAGAGAGCCTGTGTGGCAGAGTTGCCTCGTGGCCCTCGTGGCTGCGTGTCTCAACAGCTGCCTGGGCTGAGTGAGCGGGGCCCTGGGGACATGTCGGCCGAGCGTCTGCGTGACCGACTCTAGAACAGCTACAGGTGTGCGAGTGTGGCTGCCGGCTCCGGGGACATAACCATGTGCACGCCCACTTCCAGGAGGAGGTCACCCCCTCCCACGGCTCCCTCCTCCTTCGTTTGGTGCCCACAGGTGGGGAGGTTAGTGGGGCCAGACTTGCAGCTGGGAGGCTGGGGGGATGCTGAAAAGGCCGCTGACAGCTGGCTGGATGCTCAGGGCCCCCCGGCGGGCAGGGGCTCTCCAGGGAGAAGGTCTGCAGGATGGTGGTGAGAAGGAGGAAGAGTTCTGCCTGAGCCAGGCCCTCTCCGAGGCAGACACGCTTACCTGGAGGGAACAGGGAGATGGGACTGGGTCAGCCCTCCTCACACCCAGGCGTGGGGAGGGACCAGCAGGTGAGCAGGGCCTGGCCCAGCAGGTACCTAAGGAGAAGGGCAAGAATGCCTCCTGCTTCTGGAACCGTCTGTCCGCATCTAGGAATCAGTCTGGATTGAATTCGTCTGGCTGATCGAAGACCTCAGGATCACGCAGGACAGAGCCGAGGAGGGGGAAGACCTCAGTGCCCTGAGGGGGAGCAATAATAAGATTACAAATATTCTTCCCTACCCAGGCCCGAGGGCAGAACACAAGAGGGACATCAGTTCACAAAGCACCACGGCATCCGCGGGCATCTGCGTGTTTCAAGGGCATATTACGGGCCAGGCACTTTATGAAGCATTTCCTATATACTCTCTGTTATGCAATAGGCACATGTTTCTTGCTCCCTCTCTCTCACACACACAAACATGCCCTCAAACTCAGTAAATCTTTTTAACAAGTCTACGAAGCCACTTCTAACATGATTCCCATTTGAAAGGTGGGAAAACTGAGGTCCCCCAAACTTACACAACTTGCCCAACATAGCATCTGGACCTGGGAGGGGGCTAGTTCTTTTTACATGTTGTTTTTAAACTGTGTTGTGATCCATCTGTGGCTGTCCTAAGCCACATGGCCCGGGTCTGGCTCTTTCCCACTGGGCTCTTCCAGAGGTAAAGCCAAGGGTGGGTAGGTGAGGGCTGTCCGTGAAGGCTCCCCAGCCCGGGTCCCTGAGTGGCAGCCGAGATCAGTGACTGTGACCCCAGGGCTGTTCAGTGGAGGAGATTCGAGGGAGAGGGACCTAGTTTGCCAGGGACTGTGGCTAGCAGGGTCTGAGCTGGGTAGGGCAGGGGGGCTCCAGGAGAAGACAGGGTCATCCTACGGCTATTAAAATAAGGCAGACAGCTGTGGCTAGAGCATAGGCCCTGGGTGTAAATCCTGCCTCTACCATTGCAGGCTGGGCGACCCCAGCAAGTCTTCTCAGCCTTCAAGGCCAGTTTCCTCATCTATAAATTGGGCATGATAATAGTGTAGGGTTGCTCCAAAGATTAAACAAGGTACTATGTTCGTGAAGCATTTAGAATAATACCTCGTGGAGAGCAAGTGCTCAAGTCATTGATGCCCGTGGTTCTGTAATCATTATCAAGAGTGGCGACAGTCACTGAGTTAGCAATGGTTGCCGCTGCCAGGAGCTGGGAACCCGGGGGGGGGGGGAACCCCCAGCTCCCTGCACCAAGAGCTGAGCCGGTGTTTTGCAAGCATTATCTCGCAGGTTCCTTGAGATCCCAAGTTAATACTACTACTGTTCCCGATTTAGAAGAGGGGTAGAGGGAGATGCAGGGGGTGAAGTGATTTGCCCAAGGTCCCAGCGAGGAAACCCCAGGACCGGATCATAACTGCTATGGGTCTGATTCTACAACGAAGCTCAAGGAGGGAGCCGCTTGCGGGAAGGCACCTGGGGTTTCCGGGAGGACATCGCCCCCTGGTGGTGCTGGCGGTGAGTTGCTCTCTAATGGATGGCCGGAGCGGGGGGCGGGGCGGAAAGAAGGGAGGGAAGGAAGGGGAGAGACTCATTTGATTTTGAGAATCCTTCTGCCCTCAGTTCTCAAATTGCTTCGCTGTGTGTCACCTGTCAACTCTGGCATGTGATTGTCCCAGCCACCTTGGAAGGAGGTAGAATTAGGATATCCTTTGGACAGATGGGGAAACTGAGGGCCAGAGACAGAGTCAAAGGCAGGAGAAAGGCACACAGAAAGAAAGACAGCGGGACAGAGGTGCAGAGAGAGGGACACGGAGAAAGAGGAGATGTCAGAGAGGAGAGACAGAGACCAATAATCAGAACAAGTCAGACACCCAGCCACAGACTCAGGCGGGAGGCGGAGACAGCCGCTGGGCGTGGCCGAGGGCAAGCCCACCTGGGGCAGGGTGCCCCCTCGGAAGCAGGTGGTCCTCGAGAGGGCGCGGGGCACTCCCATGGGCACCAGAGCCAGCAGCCGCTGCGCCTCCTGCAGAACAGCGTCGGTGTAGGGGAGGTAGGCTCGGTCCCCCGGGCCCGGTGCGCGGCCGGCCCCCAGCTCCCGGGTCAGCTCCTCCCGCACACGCTCTGCACCCAGGAAGAGGGGAACGGAAGGTCAGAGGTGGGGTGGGGGCCCTGCGACTCTACCCTGGGAACCTGCATCTTCTCAAAGTGGCAGTGCCTGGCGGGGGGGGCGCTGGCAGGCGGGGAGGAGGAGTCCCCCCAGGTTTCGCTGAGCCTGGGTCCCTGATGTCCCTCCTGCTGGGCGCATTCCCACAGCAATCCTGTGAGGTGGGTACCATTATCCATCCCCATTTCCCAGATGAGGAAACTGAGGCCCAGAGAGCTGAAGTCACAGTGGAGGCCATTCCCCCTAGGAGGCCACCAGACCCTAAGCCCCATCTTCCAGGTCAGCCCACCCCACTGGCTTGACAGCATTTAATGCAGTTGCCTGACCCCAAAATCCTGGGCTTTCCTGGAGCTCAAGCCCTGCTCTGCCTCTCAGCCAGATACCCTCCCGCAGCTTCACTTCCTGCCTAGGCCCTGATGACCCCAGCTTTTTTTTTTAAGTAATCTCTACACCCAATGTGGGGCTCAAAGTCACAACCCTGAGATCAGGAGTCACATGCTTGATCAACTGAGCTTGCTGGATGTCCTCCCCCTTTTAAGAAAACCCTATCCCCAACATGCTGCTGGAACTCAGGACCCTGAGAGCAAGTACCCCAGTTTGTTTTTTATCTCCAGTTCTGAACTAGGTGTCTTGTGGCCTCCTAGATGCCTCCCTGCAGGTGGCCCCAGGCTCTTTACACTTGTCCCAAACTGGCCTCAGTGTCTTCCCTGAAACAGCTCCTCATTCCTTCCGTCCCCATCTCAGGGTGGCCCCATGGTCCCCCCCCCCCCGACCCCCTCTACCCGTCCCGTGGGCCTCCTGGGTCATGCTCTACTTGCCCACCTGGCCCCTCTTCCCTCCCCACACTTGGCCCAGGACTGTCCTCTCCTGCCCAGGTCCCTATCCCGTCTTCTTCCCGGGGCTCCCGGCATCCTCTTGCACACCTTACCTCTTTCAGCCCAAAGGATTTTTCTAAAATGCTAATTTGACGCTGCCCTCCCCTGCTCAGCATCCTTCCATGGCTCCCCATTGCTCAGGATCAGGCATACAAGGTACCACTAAGGCGACAAGGCCCTGAGAGGTCTCCTGCCCCATTTCTCACTTCACTGAGCCTCGTGCTGCCACCGGCCGCCCCCCAACTTCTCGCTCTTCAGACACCCCCAATGCCGGGCTCATTCTCGCTTCCAGGCTCTGGCTCAGGCTCTCCTTTCTCCTGAACATTCTCCTCTTGAGCCCTCACTTCCGTCCCCAGGGCTGGCTGGTGCAAAAGCCTCCTACCTTGGACCTGAAGTTACTTCAGCAGAAGCAAGAGGGTTTAGCGGACCGTGGTGCTGACCGTGACCGTCCCAGCGAACAGCAGATCAATGACTGTCATCAGCAAGTTCTTGTCAGTCAGTTCTGTGCTTGGGTCCTGCTCCTCCTCGGAGAAACCAAGCAGAGGCGCTCAGAGAACTCAGGCTGCGGGGAATAATAGAGGCGCAGCCCAGCCAAGCCTGGGGCGTGACAGAGCAAGTTCAAGCTTTATCAGGGGGTTTGTATAAATGTTTGGGCAAGCGGGGAAGTGGACTCTTGATATTAGTTCTCTTTGACTGCAATGTTTTTTGAAAATGAAAGAGCATGGCCACTTTAAAAAACAAACAGAGTATGACATGTGGTTAGGATGTGGACAAACGGGAGCCCTGTCCCCATCGGTGAGGCTGTCATATGGTGCAGCCGCTATGGAGAACGGTATCAGGTCCCTTAACAAATTAAAATACAATTACCATACGATCCAGCAATTCCATTTCTGGGCGTGTCCCCCAACAAGCGGGAAGCAAGGTCTCAAAGGGGTATCTGTACACCCACGTTCCCAGCAGCGTTATTCACAACGGCCAAAACGGGGAGGCACCCCAAGTGTCCACTGATGGATGAATGGATAAGCCAAATGTGATCTATCCATGTAGTGGAATAAAGATTAGCATTAAAAAGGAAGGAAATGCCGTCACCCGCTACGACACGGATGGACCTTGAGGACATCACACTAAGTGAAATAAGCCAGTTGCAAAAGGATAAATACTGTAGGATTCCACTTATATGGGGTTCCGAGAGTTGGAAAACTCATAGAGACGGAAAGGTGGTTGCCAGGGGCTGGGGAGGGGGACCGGGGAGCTGCTGTTTAACAAGTCAAGAGTTTCAGTTTGAGCAGATGAGAAAAGTTCTGGAGATCACCTACACAACAGACAGATTCCCAGCTATACCTGAATAGGGGCTGGCCAGGCCACCAGCCCCGTTCGGGAGGCCCCCCCCCACCCCTGACCTTCCCCTACCTTTGCCATCTTCAGCAGGAAGGCATCCACAATGTCGCACAGGGGGGCTGAGGTGTCCAGGATCTCCTTGTGTCACTGCACCTGCTGGACGGCGAAGGTGGCCAGGATGCTCAAGTGGCCCAGGAGCTCTGTTTGGGGGTCCAGCAGGGCTTCAGGAGCCAGGAGAACATCTCATAGGTCTGCGGAGAGAAGGGCAGCTGTTCCCATGGGGCCTGGCCCTGCACCAGTGTGGAGGGGTGCTCTGGGGGTTACCTGGAAAAGGTGGCTGGACAGGGGTCCCGCCCACTTACCTGGCCCCAGGGGGAGCTGACCCCTAGCACGGTGCCTGCCACCAGCTGCCCGGGCCACGGCCTGGAACTCCTCATCCTCGTAGGGGAAGCGGAGGCCGAAGGTGAGGGAGCAGATGATGTTGGAGGTGGCCTGAGCCAGCAGCAGGGAGGGTCAAAGGGCCATCCTGAGGGGGAGAGGGCAGGGGGGAGGGCCGTGCTGGAGCGGGGGCCAGACTCAGCATCCAGAGAGACAGACAGGGAAAGAAAGACAGATGGAGAAACAGACGCGAAAGAGACAGGGAGAGACAGAGAAACACACATGGAAGGTGAGACAGACTGGGAAAGACTGGGCAAAAGATAGACTTTCACAGGAGAGAAAAACAGAAGAAAGAAAGAAATGAAGCAGGAAGAGTGAAGTGACAGTACTGGGGACACAGAGATCCCCGGGGAGACAGGAGGACAGAGATGGGGAAGGTAGAGGAGGAGCCAGAGGTGCGGGTGAACAGAGCCCTCAGCCCAGCCCCGACTCCCCCCACTCAGGCATGCCGCAGGGGACCCCAGGCTCACCCCACCCTGCTGACCTTCTGTCCCCCGGAATGTCTCCACCAGACTCTGAGCCTCTGCTTGCATCAGCTCCTTGCCTTCTCCCTTCTCCATGCCCAGGTCCCTCAGGGCCAGCAGGGTGAATCTCCGCAGCTGCTGCCACCGTTCCCCGTCGGAGAAGAAAACCCCTGTGCAGAAGGCGAGACTCAGGGAGGCACTGGCCCCTCTCCCCATTCCCCGGGACTACTCCCTCCCTCCCTCCCAGAGAGGTGCCGGAGGGGGACTCTGCAGGCCCTGTGCTGAGTCCATTCCAGCCTAGCCCAGGGTTGAGGAATCAGTAGGTGCTCCATAAATGCCTAACCTTGGGGCAGAGGGTGACATTCTCCTGAGAAGCTGGTAACTGGGATTATCCAGGCTCCCTGTGTTCTGTGATGAACCCGGGTGAGTGAAGATTTCTTCCTTCCTTCCTTCATCCATCCATCCATCCATCCATCCATCCATCTCCCTCACTTCCTTCCTTCCTTCCTTCCTTCCTTCCTTCCTTCCTTCCTTCCTT